CTGCGAGTGTGGGGCGCTGAGGAAGCAGCCTCCCCCCTCCCCTCCGGGTCTCAGCCGAGCCCGATGCTTCCCCCTCGCAGGATTTCAGGCCCCAAACCCGCTTCTACCTCTTGGGTGGAAGGAGAGGTGGAGGCGTGGAGGTCCAGGATCCAGAGGGTGAGAGTTTAGCAACTGTCCGCGGGGCGAGGGGAAGGGAAAGGCCACAGGTGTTTCACTTCCAACCCCAGGATGTGGCCTTTGAGAACCCTCCTCCCCACTCAGCCCCAGAGCACTCCGCTCCCTCTAGAGCCCTTCGAGCCTCCCTGCACCCCATCTGCAGGGGGTTCCGGTCTCACTGCCAGGTGGGCCTCCAGTGCCTCTTAGTCATCCTGGACAACCCCTGCTTCATGCGGAATGGAGTGTGAGCTTCCAAGGAAGATAGGGGAAGCACATGTAATTTGGTTTTTGTTGTGTGATATAATGAAGACAAATGTTCCTTTGGATATTAATTATGTGGATCACAGTGTAATGGATAATGCCATTCATCAGAGATTTAAAAAAGGAAAGCTGTTTTGCCTGCAGGCATAATCCTATATAATAAAAGGCTAATATGCAAATTGTGGAACAGCAGAACCACCAGTCGCTATGATGCACACTGACCACCAGGTGGCAGACACTCAATGCAGGAGCTGCCCCCTGGTGGTCAGTGCTCTCCCACAGGGGAGGGTCGCTCAGCCAGAAGCCAGGATCATGGCTGGCGATTGCAGCCATCCACAGTGGTCCTTCCTCGGTGACCAGTGTCAAGCCTGTTTCTCCCCAGTACAAGTACCTGCTCTAGCATAATTCACCCACACAGTGAAAAGCCCTACTCCTGCCCATTGCGGGCGATGCTGCTGCCACAGGGCTTCCCTGGCCATCCACAGGCAGGCTCACACTGGGGAGAAGCCCTACCAATGCCCAGACCGCAAGAGTCACTTCACTGACCCCCCGCTGCTGGCCACCCACCAGCACAAGCACACAGGCGAGAAGCCCTCCAGCCGTCCTAAATGCAGCCTCCGTTTTGCCTACAGCAGTGGTTCTCAACCTTCTGGCCCTTTAAATACAATTCCTCATGTTGTGACCCAACCATAAAATTATTTCGTTGCTACTTCATAACTGTAATGTTGCTACTGTTATGAATCATCATGTAAATATCTGATATGCAGGATGGTCTTAGGCGACCCCTGTGAAAGGGTCGTTCCACCGCCAAAGGGGTCGCGACCCACAGGTTGAGAACCGCTGGCCTATAGGCACTTCTCTGCTGTCTTCCCACAGGTGCACACACACAGGCGAGAAGCCCTGCCCCTGCCCTGACTGTGGCCTCTGCTTTACCTACTCTCCTCCACCATCAGCACATCCACTCTGCCAGCCCTTCCTGGGCCCAGGGTGGGGAAGGCTTCAAGCACAAGCAGGCCCCGGAAGACCACCGGTGGGTCAATCCCTCTGACAAGAGCCCAAGTGGCAGCAGCCTGTAGTGGGGCTTTCAGAGCCAATCCTGTTTGGGAGGCCAGGATCCCCCGGTTAATTTCTGGTACTTTCCAGATGGACTTCAAGAGTGTTAGGTGATAGAGCTCCCATGAGATGCTTAGAGTTCTCTCTGGAAAGGAAGAGGCAAGGTTTGAGTGTTAGCGGGTAAGGAAAGGACGTGGGCGTTTAGGGAAAACAGGGCTCTGTGTTAGGAAATGGGCAGAGGTGAGGGGCCCAGAGAAGGTCCTTTGGGAGGAGGAGGCTGCGATCCGAAAGACCGCCTGAGGACTAAGCCCATGTTCTGAGGTTCCTGCTCCCACTTCCCAGTCGCAGTTGGGGTTACTTCACTGCAAACCATCCACCTGACTTTTCTTTCTGGATTGTTCTCTCCTTTAGAGCATTCTGGTCTGTATCTCCCCTGTTCCTCAGAGATGGGGTCCTTTAGATGTGAAAACCTGTTAAAGGAGCTGGTACCCACTGTAGAGAGGCCCTGGAGCAGAGGGCACACTTTGGGCCTGGAGATGGATACTGGTGGTGGTTGCACAACAATATGAACGTATTAATACCACTGAACTGTACACTTAAAAATTGTTAAAATGGTATGTAGCTGGACAAGTGGAATGAAGTTAACTAGAAGAGGACGCTCTGCCAGGAAAAGGCGGGGGCCTGCAAGCGGGCCACGTCAGAACAAAGTCTTGCACGCAAGACTTATTGTTCAGAGGCAGAATTTCCTTGAGGTGATAAATAGTCCATGAGGGCATGGAAAGCCAGGGAGGGTACACTGCTGCAGGTGGAAAGGGTCTTTGTATAACATAGGAAATTAATAGTGTAATGTATAACTTAGCTCTGATGATCTCAAAAGCATGCCTGTTAGTCGTTGTCACTTGCTGTACTCCATTGTTATTTGCAGTACTCCCCAAATAAAAGCCATGAGGGCTTTGGGGGCTTTGCTACTTGCCTGACTAGCGGTAGCCCTCTGCTTCTCTAACTTCATCCTGCACGTCAAGCTCATCTCAGTGTCACCGTTCACAAAGAACATCAACAATGGTAACTTTTATGTTATGCATTACCACAATTTTTAAAAAAAGGAATGAAGCCCTAGACAGCTTGGCTCAGTGGATGAAGTGTCAGCCTGCGGACTGAAGGGTCCCGGGTTTGATTCTGGTCAAGGGCACATGCCCGGGTTGTGGGCTCGATCCCCAGTAGGGGGCGTGAAGGAGGTAGCCTATCAATGATTCTCTTATCATTGATGTTTCTATCTATCTCTCCCTCTCCCTTCCTCTCTGAAATCAATAAAAATATATTTTAAAAAAATAAAAAAGGAATGAAGTGTTGATTCATGCCACAACATGGCTGAACCTTGAAAACACTGTTAAGTGAAAGAAGCCAGACACAAAAGGGCAAATATTGTGTGAGGTACCAGAACAGGCAAATTCATAGTCAGAAAAAATGAGAAATTACCAGGGGCTTGGTGACAGGGGAATGGAAAGTGACTGCTTAATGGGTTCTGGGTTTCCTTTTTTGGTGAAGAAAAGATTTTGAAAATCGATAGTAGTGACAGTTGCACAACATTGTGAATGCAATTAATGCCACTGAATTGTGAACATAGAAATGGTTAAAATGGGCCCTGACCAGGTGACTCAGTTGGTTGGAATGCCCTCCCGTACACCAAAAAGTTTGCAGGGGCTCTAGCCGGTTTTGCTTAGTGGATAGAGCCACGGCCTGCAGGCTGACGGATCCCAGATTCTTTCCGGTCAAGGGCACATGCCTAGGTTGTGGGTTCCAGCCCCAGTGGGGGAGCATTCAGGAGGCAGCCAATCAATGATTCTCTCTCATCATGATGTTTCTATCTCTCTCCCTCTCCCTTCCTCTCTGAAATCAATAAAAATATTTATATTTTTAAAAAGGTTGCAGGTTCAATCCCCTGTTGGGGCACCTATGGGACATACATGCATGTTCAAAGCAGTACTAGATAAGAGGTGGAAACCCAAATGTCCACCTCCATCAACAGATGGGGAATATGATATATCTATACAAATGGCGTATTACTCAGCCACAAAAAGGAATGAAGTACCGACACATGCTAAAGACAGAAGCCAGAAGGAAAGGCTACACATAGTGCATGGCTTCATTTATATGAAATATCCAGGAACAGCAGATCTATAGGGACAGAAAGCAAATTAGTGACTGCCATGGGCTGCAGGAAGGGGAGAATGGGAGTGGCTGTTCAATGGGTAGGTAGGTGGTTTCCATTAGGGGTGATGAAAGTAATGACTAGTTTACACTGAAAATGTACTAAATGCCACTGAATTGTACAGTTTTAAATGGCTGATGTGTAATGGTTTATGTGACTTGTATTTTACCACAATAAAAAATTGGGAACAAGGAAACATTCAGGGGTCACATCAATGTCCTATATCTTGTTGGGGGTGACTGATGTTAATATGGTTGTATACATTTGTCAAAACTTGGCCAATTTTACACTGAAGATCTGTGCATTTTACTGTATGTACAATAAAATTAAAATTAAAAAGTTTAAAGTAGTTGCCTTTTGGAGAATAGGGGGAAAGGGTACAGGGAACTGATTTTTTCTTTTTTAAAAAAATGTATTTTATTGATTTTTTTACAGAGAGGAAGGGAGAGGGATAGAGTTAGAAACATCGATGAGAAACAGATGAGAGAGAAACATAGATCAGCTGCCTCCTGCACACCCCCTACTGGGGATGTGCCCGCAACCAAGGTACATGCCCTTGACCGGAATCGAACCTGGTACCCTTCAGCCCGCAGGCTGACGCTCTATCCACTGAGCCAAACCGGCGAGGGCTGATCTTTTCATTACAAAAACTTTTTAAACCCATATGTATTAATTAATTTGGGGGAAAAAGAAAATATAACAATTTCCCCATTCCAATTTGAACCTCAGCAAACACATTCCTTCGCCCGCTGCTCCAGGCGAAGGCTGAGTGAGCCGAGCGGAGCGCGCAAGGAGGGGGTGGCCCCGCGGCCCTGGGCCCGCTGTGTCCCCGCGTCTGGCCCGGGTGTGAGCGGCTTCCCGCGGGGCTGGGGGCCGGGTCCCGCCGCCGGGAGGCGCGGGGAGAAGACCGTCGGGTTCACCACCTGGGACTTCACAAACGCCCCGTCCCGGTCGGTTCCAGAGCCAGGCAACCGGGACACCGGGCGCGCGCGCCTCCCCAACGGCCGCCAGCCCGGCCCGCGGCGCCGCTTCCTGCGCTCGGGCCAATCAGCGGCACCGCCTCCTGCGCTCGGGCCAATCAGCGGCACCGCCTCCTGCGTTCGGGCCAACCCGCGGCACCGCCTCCTGCGCTCGGGCCAATCCGAGGCGCCGCCTCCTGCGCTCGGGCCAATCCGAGGCGCCGCCTCCTGCGCTCAGGCCAATCAACGGCACCTCCTCCTGCGCTCGGGCCAATCAGCGGCAGCGGCACCGCCTCCTGCGCTCGGGCCAACCCGCGGCGCCGCCTCCTGAGCTCAGGCCAATCACCGGCCGCTGGGCCGCCGCAAAGGGAGGTGCTGCCCGCCTCGACCGTCCATCTTTCTCGAAGGCGAGAAGGCTCCCCCATGCCTCCCCTCCGTTCCGTCTCCCCCCTAAAGGCGGCCATTTTATTTGAGGGCAAGTGGGCGAGGAAACGGGGAAGGCAGGCGGGCGCCATGTTTGATGTGATCAGGGGACGGCGCCCTCAAGAGCGGCCGCGACAGCTGAAGCCGGGATGTGGCCCTGTTTCCGAAGGCCCCTTCCGGGCCCCTCGGCCCGGGAGTCTATGGCCACGCTGCCCGGAAGTGAATAAACACCGAGGGGTTGGTGGGTCCCGGTCAGAACCCCCGAGTCCCCAGCGGCCCCAGCAGCCAGTCCCTGCGACTTCGCTTCCCTCGGCGGCGGCCGGACGCCCCGGCTGGAGGGGCCGCGGCCTGGGGAGCGGGCCTGCGGACGGCGAGCCGAGCTCGGGGGCGGGGGTCGGGGCCCCTGGGGCCCGGCTGCTGCAGCTCGGGGGCTGGCGGACCCCATGGGCGCCGCCTCCAGCCCCGCTCGCGCGCTGACGGCTGGGGGGACCCGGCCTGGGTGCAAGAAGCCGGGGTCCGTGAGCTTCGCGGACGTGGCCGTGTACTTCTCCCCGGAGGAGTGGGGCTGCCTGCGGCCCGCGCAGAGGGCCCTGTACCGGGACGTGATGCGGGAGACCTACGGCCACCTGGGCGCGCTCGGTGAGGCCCGGGTCGGCGCCCCCCTCCTTCACCTTCACTGGGGCTCACGGAGATGCTAGAGGGGCTCGGAGGTGTGTGAGCCCTGACCGCGCACTGTCCCACCAGCAGCACCAGCCACCCCTGTGCCCCGGGGCCCGTGGGAGCGCTGCCACCCGCGCCCGCCTCCTGCAGGCGGGGAGCATGGAGACTCCTCCACGTGGATCTTAGGTTCTGGGGACGCGCCCTCGCCCCGGCGCGGGGTGCCGGCTCCCAGGGCAGCCTCTCAGGCCGGCGCTGTGCTCCGTTCTCCCCAGGATGCCCCGGCCCCAAACCAGACCTCATCTCTTGGATGGAGCAGGGGAGCGAGGCGTGGAGCCCGGCCGCCCAGGATCCTGAGCTGGGGGAACGCGTGGGAGGAGCCCTGCGAGGTGAGGGACCCCGGGTCTCCCCGCACCCGGCACCCGGGCTTCCTGTCCAGCGAGGTGGTTATTTTCAGATCCCCCCTCCCCGCCTCCCGGGAGGAAGGAAGGAGCCGCGGTGTTGGTAATGGAGGAAAGGAGGCGGACCTGGCACACAGTTTTCAGAACTTGAGCGTCATCATGTTGAGACCCGAGTAGGGAAATCGGGAGCCCAAGTCCAACACTCGGGTTTCCAGGTCCTTGTGGTAGAAAACACCACCCACTGTCCCTTTTTCAGGAACAACTAAAATCCCCTAAGAATGGACGTGACTTCAGATCCGCCTTTCACGTTCCTCAAGCAAAGCGAGGTAGAACAGGAGGCCATGACCAGCAACGCAGCCTGGCTCTCCCCCCTCCTCCTCCCCATCCCCTGCAGTGACCGCCGCAGACAGGTCCCCTCCTCTATGCAGCTCTCACCCACAGAAAGCGGAGGAAACGATAATAGCTACTGCGCCTTGAGCATTGACCAAGTGCCTAACAGGCTCCCACTGATTCAATGGGTCCAACAGCCTCGGAAAGGAGTCACCACGATTCGCATCTGACACGCGAGGATCCGAGGCTTGAGGGGTTGAACTGGTTCACTGTCCTTCGAGGCCTGTGTGTCGGTCCCTGTGCAGTATTTCTCTGGCACGTCTCTCCGTAAAGGCACCCTGTGGCCTGAGACAGTCTAAGCAAATGTGCTTTAAAATGCGTCTTGATTCTTGTTTCCCAGGAGGTGCCCCAAACAAGAAGGAAGAGGAACCCAAAGCAGTGCCAGGAGCCAGGAGCCCCAGAAAGACTCCCGGGAAGGATCGGCCCGGGGAGCCGGTTCAACACCACCCGGACTGGGCCCTCAGCAAGCCGCCCCCGCCCGCGCCCACGAAAGCCTGGGACCCGGGCTCAGGGGCGCCGCCGCCAGCCCCGGGGCCCAGCCGGGGCTCGCAGGCCCGCCAGCGGCGCCACGTGTGTGCGGACTGCGGTCGCCGCTTCACCTACCCGTCGCTGCTGGTCAGCCACCAGCGCATGCACTCGGACGAGCGGCCCTTCCCCTGCCCCGAGTGTGGCATGTGCTTCAAGAGGAAGTTCGCGGTCAACGCGCACCAGTGGATCCACCGCTCCTGCTCCGGGGGCCGGCGAGGCCGGAGGCCTGGCATCCGCGCTGTGCCCCAGGCCCCGGTTCGGGATGACCGGGACCCGCCGGTGCTGTTCCGGCACTACCCGAACATCTTTCAGGAGTGCGGGTGAGTGGCTCCCACGCGTGGGGCTGAGCCTGACCTCGGCGATAGGGACTGACTGGGCCCTGAGGGAGATTCCTAAATCAGGGACTTGGGAACCCAGGTTCATCCCTTGGGCTTCCCTCAAGGATCCCTCAGGTTTTCAAACATGTAGAAAGGAAAGTGCCTGTAAAGATTCACCTAGATTCAACTTGACGCCCCTCTCCCCGGTTTTTCTAAAAAATGAGTGAGACGCTTTCAGTAGCAGGTGCAACCAAGATCTTTCCTGTCTCAAAAACCACCCCTTGCTGCTTATCTGCATGAGAGGTAAACGCTGAGGACTGGGGCCTGGGGAGGGGCCCAGGTGGAGGTGGTCAGCCTGGCCAGCTGACTCCGGCAGGGAGCCCAGCACAGAGCCAGTCTGCACAGCACCGCTGGCAAGTCGGCCCTCCCCAGCCTCACTCCCTCGTCTGTAAAATGAGGGTTACTAATGTCTACCTCAAGGGAAAGGGCTACTGTGAAGACTGAAATGTAAACAATATAGTATGTATGACAGTAAATGTGCAATAAATGTGTTGAAAGAGTGAGTTATCGACATTTTACACTTCAGAAAGGCTAAGGAGGCAGGGCATGGATATCAATAGCCATGTTTTGCAGATGAGTGGACTGAGGCTCAGAGATTAAGTGATTTTTCCCCCCAACATTCCACTGCTTTAAAACAGCAAAGCTGGAAACTGACACAGAGCCCCAATATTTCTACCACTTTCTCTGAGCAGTCAGTAGAACACAGGTCCCGCCCAGATGAGAGTGAGGTGAGAGCTGAAATCTGGGCAGGAAGCCAGTGGGACAGCAAACAACAGCAACTACAGGAAAGGTTTTTTGGTCGTGGCCAGCTAGCTCAGTTGGTTAGAGCATCATCTGAATATGCCAAGGTTGTGGGTTCTATCCCCGCCCAGGCCACATACCGGAATCAGCCAGTAATACATGGATAGGTGGAACAATGGGTCGCTGTTTCTATGTATCTCTTGTCCTTTCTCTCTCAATCAATAAATGAATTTTTTTTAAAAAGGTATTTTGGTCCTTACTTCCCAGCCAGAGAGTGGCCTCCCCTTGGAGGGGTGGCTCCTCAGGATGCAGGGCCCAACCCTGCTTGTCTGGGAGAATCTCAGCAGGAAAACGTAAAGCCCTGCCAAAGCCAATGACTTCACTCAGAAAGGTACAGCCCACATTCAGTGACCTGCTGGAGAGACAGCGAGGTGATCAGGGAATCCGGGGCTGAGGAAGGCTGGCTCCATGCTGTCACTCACAAACAACACCTGAGGCCTCTGGGTTTTGTGCTGGGCTCCAGGGACAGGCTGACTCAGAAAAGAATGGCCTGATCTCGGCTGTGATGAAGGATGTGCCAGAGGCATCACCCAACCCGTCCTGTTGGCGAGACACCAGGAACTGCATCTTGGAGGAGAGGGTTGTGCTTCCCATAGCGTTAGGTGGTGATGGCTCTGTGGGGAGATTTTCAGGCAAAGGGAGCCTTGTTTCATGAAAAGGCTTAGAAATGGACACAGTGTGGAATAAAGGGAAGAGCCTGGTCTCTGGAGCCGGACTGTCTGGGCTCAGATCCTGACTCACTTGCTTTTTAGCTGTGCAGTCTCAGGCAAGTTACCTCTCAGCCTAGTCACCTCTCTGTGCCTTAGTTTCTTCATCTATAAAACCTAACTCCTAAACTTGCTGTAGGATTAAGTAAGATAAACACCGGTTTTTATTATTACCTAATCCAGGGGTCCTCAAACTTTTTAAACGGGGCCAGTTCACTGTCCCTCAGACCGTTGGAGGGCCGGACTATAGTTTTAAAAAAAACTATGAACAAATTCCTATGCACACTGCACATATCTTATTTTGAAGTAAAAAAACAAAACGGGAACAAATACAATATTTGTATTTGCATGTGGCCTGCGGGCCGTAGTTTGAGGACCCCTGACCTAATCAATACAAAATAGTTTGTGAAGAGGACCAAGAGGAGACCTGGGAAGGTCTTCTGAAACAAGGAAGGTTGCCTGAAGGAAGTGGTTTAAATCAGCCTTGAAGGATGAGAAAGATTCCAACCAGGATAGACATGTATAAGGAACAATAGTATGACTGAAACATAAACAACTAGGTAATGGTTCTGTCTGGTGTGGCTCAGTTGGAGCATCATACTCATACACCAAAGGTGGCAGGTTTGATTCATACACCAAAGGTGGCAGGTTTGATTCATACACCAAAGGTGGCAGGTTTGATTCATACACCAAATGTGGCAGGTTTGATTCATACACCAAAGGTGGCAGGTTTGATTCATACACCAAAGGTGGCAGGTTTGATTCCCAGTCAGGGCACATACCCAGGTTGCAGGTTCCATCCCCAGTCAGGGTGAATCCAGGAGGCAACCAATAGATATCTCACTCTCATGCTCGCGCTCTCTCTCCCCCGCTTCCTCTCTCTAAAATCAAATTTTATAAAATTTTCACTCGAGGATATTTTTTTTTCTCATTGATTTTTTTTTTAGAGAGAGTGGAGGGGAGACAGGAGGTGTGGAGAGAGAATCACACATCGATTGGTTGCCTCCTGTTCACACACTGATCGGGACCAGGGATCAAGCCTGCAACCAAGGTCGTGCCCTTGTTCAGGAATCGAACCCAAGACCCTAGGGACTGCGGGCCAATGCTCTAACCACTGATCAACCGACCAGAGCTCTAAAACCAATTAAAAAGAAAAGAACTAGATAATGAGTAACAGAAGATGCAGCAGTGAGGTGGATGCCAAGCTGGAAGAGCCAACAGATCCCAGCAGAGGAGCTTAAGGATTACCCTGAGGAGCCAGAGAACGTTCTTAGCAGAAGCAGGTTGTTTGATAGGTACTCTCCGAAGATGCCTTTGGCCCCATCGGGTGTGGCTGTTGGTTGGGCGTCATCCCGTGCACCAAAGATGTTGCTGGTTCAATTCCTGGTCGGGGCACATGCCCAGATTATGGGCTTGACCCCTAGTAGGGGGTGTGCAGGAGGCAGCCGATTGATGTTCTGCTTGCACATTGATGTTTCTCTTTCTCTCTCCCTCTCCCTCTCCCTCTTCCTCTCCCTCTCTCAAAATCAATAAAAAAATTTTTTTTTACAGATGTCTTTGTAAATAGTGTAAAGTGTGACCTGTAGGAGGAGACCGGTTACTAGAGACCTGTTGGACACCTGCTCCCAGGTAGAGCTGATCAGGAGCTGGGACCAAACTAAAGAGCAAGATCTTTTCTTGCTTCCTGACCTTGGAATTGGGAAGAAAGATACTCATGAGAGGTTTCTGCCATAGTATCTGCATGGCTCAGTGACTGCCAATATGAGCTGTGAACAAGTAAGTCCCAGAGGTTTCAAGCACAGATAGCTGGAGCAAGAGAGCCCGACTGCTGGGCAAGGGGCAGTCAGGAGTGGGAGGGTGTGAAGGTGAAGGGGTGACCAGTACTGGGGAGGGGTGGGTCAAAGAGAAGGTAGAGCTGGAGAGGAGGTGCCACCAGGGAGGGGGGAGCAGAACCAGGCACAGGGTGTCACGCACAGCTCTGCCACCAAGGTCAGCATGAAGCACAGGATGAGTGCTGTCTGCTCTTTATCTTTCTCTTTAACAGAAACCTAGTAAGCATTTACCATGTACTAGGAACTGTTCTGTGTGTCAGGATATAGCAGGGAAAACTGACACAGGAATCCTCTTAGAACTTACCTCTGAGTGGTGGGGAGGGGGGGAGACTAGTGATAAGCCAGTATATAAATAAGACTAGGTACTGTATTGCAAATAATAAGCACTACAAAGGAACTAAAACAGAAGATGTGCTAAAAGTGCCTGTTGCAGATGGATACCCAGACCGGACTTGGTAAGGACGAGACATTAAAAAAAAAAATAAAAGATTTTTATTGGATTTTTGAGAGAGAGAGAGAGGGAGGGATAGAGAGAGAGAAACATCCATGTGAGAGCGATCACATCAATCGTCCACCTTCTGTACGGCCCCCATCTCCTGCAAACCCCCTATTTGTGATCAGGGACTTGAACAGCAACCCTTCAGTGCAAAGGATGATGCCCAACCAACTGAGCCACATGGGGGAAGGGTACAGGTCACAGAGCTTTTGCTTGCCATGATGCAAAGTTTGGATTTAACTCTAAATATACTGGGAGGTCAGTGGATTGTTTTTATTTGCGGTAAAATATGCACAACAATTTACCCATTGAAAAAATTTTTAAATGTTTTTATTGATTTTAGAGAGAGGGAAAGAGAGAAACATCGATGTGAGAGGGACACATCAATTGGTTGCCTCCCACAAGTGTCCAATCAGGGCTGAGAAATCCGTCCTGCAACCTAGGTAAGTACCCTTGACCGGAAATAGAACCCGAAACTCTTTGGTGTACAAGCCAATGCTCTAACTACTTAGCAACACTGGCCAGGGCCTGAATGACATTTTTTCCCCCGTGACATGACCCCTAAACCTAAGCCTCATATTTACTTTTCAATACTAATGATATAGCCCATCATTTAAATTTTTCCTCTTTACATTTACACTGAGTGGCCAGATTATTATGACCACCTGACGTTTGTAGGCAAATTAGCTATACACTGCATCGTATGGGATATGGAAGCCAAAGGCCTGTTCGAATACCTTTGCTGTCTGCAGTTACCAAGATAAAACGTCTCACCCTCCTTTTCTTGGAGGGGTTCGGGCGTGCGGTCCCGGTCCCCGTAATGTAAAAAATAAAAAAAAAAGAAGTCTCCAATTCGCACAGGAACCCAAGGATTGGACAGTCGAGCATTGGAAAAAAGTCATGTGGTCCGATGAATCACGTTTCCAGTTGCATCATGCAGATGGCAGAGTGAGAATTTGGCAGAAACAGCATGAAAGCATGCCCCCCACATGCATGAGTACAACCCTTCAAGCTGGTGGGGGCAGTGTTATGGTTTGGGGCATGTTTTCCTGGCATGATTTGGGCCCTTTAATTTGTGTGAAACAACATCTGAATAGCACAACATACCTAAGTATCGTTGCTGATCAAGTTCATCCTATCATGTTGATGGCGTATCCCCATGGAGATGGCTTCTTCCAACAAGACAATGCGCCATGCCACGGTGCTTGTATTGTGCAGGAGTGGTTTCAAGAACATGAGGGAGACTTTACCTTGCTTAGGCGGCCCCCACAATCACCAGATCTCAATCCAATTGAGCATTTGTGGGACAAAGTTAAAAGCCATCAGGCAGCTGGTTCCACAACCATCAAATCTCACAGAACTGGACAGTGCTATTCATCAGGCATGGTGTCAGATTCCTCGCATCAGCTTTCAACATCTCGTGGAGTCAATGCCAAGAAGAATCGCCGCAGTATTGAAGGCAAAAGGTGGCCCAAAGAAGTACTGATGGGGTGGTCATAATAATCTGGCTACTCAAGGTATATGATAATACGGAATTGTGCGTGTGTGATGAGAAGCAGCTCTTCTGACCTCCTAGGTCCCTGCTTCTTGCACTGCCCCACATTACAACTGCATCCTGGTAACCTGGTCTAAAATCTCACCTCTCTTTGGTTGCTGAGATTGTGCCTTCAGTCATTTGAGGCAATACAGCATGGGTCTGGAGTTGGAGGCCTGGGGCAAGGTCATCCCTCTGTGCCTCAGCCTCCTGATCCAGAAAGTACCCATCTCTGAAGTGGGAGGGTCCAATGAGTTAACAAGCAAAAGCACTTACTGGTAGAGCAGAGGCTGGCATACAGTAAGTGATTATTCAAGGTAAGCAAAGATTACTAGTCTTTGTCCCAGAAGCAGCTGCAGCTCTTGCATAGCCTGCCGTTATTCTGTTAGGAGAGCTTGGAATTGGGAAATCGGGGCACATTTAAATAAAGCATTAAAACAATGTGCCCTCATCCAGTAACTCATCTAATTTTCTATGCAATCATAATTGAATAAAGAACCCAGTTCAGCCTTTTGCCTCGTTGCTACAGAGTGAGCAAGATGGGTCACCAGCAGCTCTACTGGAGCCATCCGAGGAAATTCGGCCAGGGTTCTCCTCCTTGCCGCG